ACCGCCCAAATTTTATTATTTTTAATCAAGTCACAGCCATAAACAGACCATCTTGTAGTTCCGATAGAGTTCATTGTTGAAATACTTGGATAACATTTTGTGTCTTTCTTCCACGTGTTTATCATCCGTCCTTCTTGTAGTTCACTGGGCTTTTCCAGAAACAAGGGAAGAAACAGAGTTGAAAAAGAATTCATTTGGACTCTTGTTTTTCTAATCTAATGGGAGGCAGCAGAGGGCAGAGGTCAAGAATGACAGATCTGGAGTCAGATTATCTGAGTTCAAATTTCACCTCTGTGATCAAGTATCTGATTTGGGAGAAGGCTGCTCAACCTCCCTGTTCCTCGGTTTCCTCCTCTGCCTCATTGTGCCTGGGCAGCGTCAACATTCAATAAGCGTTACAGTGTCATAGGGACAGCTTCTACTTGCCCACGGTTCTGGGCACTCAGACCTGCCTCCCACTTGGATGTAGCCATGTTCCCTATGACCCAGCTTCATGAACATATGGAAGCCTGCAGGTAATTATTTACTGTGCACAGTGAGTCTGCTAATGGGTCAAAGCAGAAGGATGAGTATACAATAAGCAGTGTTCATCTATATGGAATTCTTGTTTGGGATCAGTTTTCAAAGTTCTGTAGCTAGGGTACGTTTATCCAAAGTGCAGTTTTGGTTTGGTTTTGTGAGTTATCAATTAGGAATAATAATCTCCCTGAAAGTATCATAAAAATATAATTCAGGTTGATCAAATTCCCTGGATAGAAACATGTCAAAATCATAACAGCAGCAGCAGTAGTAACATTACCAGTTTCATTTATTTTTTATTTTTATTTATTGATTGTTTTAAGACAGAGTCTCATTCCTGGGTAGAGTGCTGTAGCATCCTAGCTCACAGCAACCTCAACTTCTTGGGCTTAAGTGATCCTCTTGCCTCAGCCTCTTGAGTAGCTGGGAGTAAAGGCATGAGCCATAACACCCAGCTAGAGACAGGATCTCACACTTGTTCAGGCTGGTCTCGGATTCCTGAGCTCAGGCAATCCACCCTCCTCTGCCTCCCAGAGTGCTAGGATTACAGGTGTGAGCCACTGCATGCCTGGCCAAAATTACTGTTTTTAAAAGCACAAGAAAAAAAAAAAAACTTTACTATGTGCCAAGCAGTGTTCTAAGTGCCTTGCATCTTATCAGTAATCCTCACAACACCTGATGAATAGATACTTTTATTGCTTGTACTTAACAACAAGAGAACTGAGGCATTACTCAGCCACATCCCTACCATCATCCTCATTCCCTATTTCATTAACATGTTTTCTTTTCTTCACAACACTAATCACTACCCGCTATAATGTTATTTGTTGTCTGTTGCCCCTATAAAAGTTAGTTAGGCAAGAGCCTTGTCGTAATCACTGCTATATCCTCAGCTTTTAGGACACACCTGGTTGCTAATAATTGTGGCCTACATGAATAAATTAATGAATGAGGCCTTAAAAGTTTTAAGTACCTTGCCTAACGTCACACAACCAAAAGAGCCAGTATTCCAGCTAAACCCCATCTAACTCCAGAACACGAGATCTGGTTTTCCACGGTAGCTTTTTATAGCTGAAAGCCCCTAGACACGATCTAACCCAAGCCTATCATTTTGCAGATGATGATACTGATGCTCAGAAAGGCTAAATTACTTCCTAATATCTGTTAGTATGGAACCAGAATCAGACCCCACATCCCTAGGTAGTGTTTTTTGCACCCTGAATTCAGCCTTCTCATTTCATGTAAAATTGGAGGAAAATCCTATATGTGTCTTCTGTATATCATCCACCTACGTATTCATGCCACAAACCTAAGTCGTACTTGACACTTCCTTCTTCCTTACCACCCCCTTCGTCTAATTAACTAGTAAGTCTTGTCAGTATACCTTCTAAATATATCTCCAATCTCTCCATTTTTCTTCCTCTCTACTCACCCAAGCCCCTCCAGCTCTCACCTAGATAATTGTAGTAGCCTCCTACCTGCTTTCTCCTGCCTTCTCTTGCCCCTTTCAATCTATTTTCTTTCTCTTTTTCTTTTCTGAGACAGGGTCTTGCTCTATTGCCAGGCATAGAGTGCCACGGCATCATGATGGCTCACTCTAACTTCAAACTCCTGGCTCAAGCAATCCTCTGCCTCAGCCTCCCTGGTAGCTGGGACTACCAGCACCTGCCCCAAGGTGTGGCTAATTTTTCTACTTTTTGTAGAGACGAGGTCTTTCTCTTGCTTAGGTTGGTCTCAAACTCTTGACCTCACATGATCCTCCTGCCTCAGCCTCCTAGAGGGCTAGGATGACAGATGCAAGCCACCATACCTAGCTTCTATTTTCTTTAGAGTAGCCAGAATTATTTTCTAAAATGTAAATCTGGTCATACCATTGTGCTGCTTAAAACATACCATTGAGTTTAAGGTGTGATTTAAAATTCCTTTTTTTTTTTTTTAGACAGAGTCTCACTTTCTTGCCTCTGGGAGAGTGCTGTGGCATCACAGCTGACTGCAACCTCAAAGTCCTGGGCTCAAGTGATCCTTTTGCCTCAGCCTCCTGAGTAGCTGGGACTACAGGCACCTGCCACACACTCAGCTATTTTTAGAGATGAAGTCTCACTCTAGCTCAGGCTGGTCTGGAACCTGTGAGCTCAGGCAATCCACCCACCTCAGCCTCCCAGAGTGCTGGGAGCACAGGCATGAGCTACCTGTGCCTGACCGGATTAATTTTATTCTTATTCCTTTTTTTTTTTTTTTTGAGACAGAGTCTTACTTTGTCATCCTCAGTAGAGTGCTGTGGTATCACAGCTCACAGAAACCTCAAACTGTTGGGCTTGAGCAATCTTCCTGCTTCAGCCTTCCAAGTACCTGGGATTACAGGTGCCCTCTATGATACCTGGCTAGTTTTTCTGTTTTTAGTAGAGAAGAGGTCTCATGCTTGCTCATGCTGGTCTGGAACCACTGAGCTCAAACAAGCCACCAGCGTAGGTTTCCCAGAGTGGTAAGATCACAGGAATGAGCCACCACACCCAGACCTGTAATTTAAAATTCTTAACATGGCCTTTGAGCCTCAGAGGTGCGGCCCCTAACCACCCTCCCACTCTCACCATCTGTGCTGATCTTTCCTTCTCATATATTCTGCAGCTCCATTGACCTTATTTCCATTTTTAGAACATTAAGCCCATCTCTTCTTCCAGCTTTATTTTATGGGGCTACCCTATAATGGACCACTTTTTCCACTCCATCCCCCTTTTCCTTCTCTTTCCTTCTCTTCTCTTCATTCTCTGCATCTCAACCTAAGTGTCATTTATAAAGGGAGTTTTCCCCGATGGGCTCCTCCCACCCTCTGCCCAACCAGGTCAAGTCCCCTGTGATATGCTCTCATAAGCACCCTGCACAGATTTATTGCAGTATAATTGGGCACATTGTTTGTGTAATTATTTACTTAATGTCTCCTTCTCACACTAGACTGGAAGCCCTAGTAACCATGCTGTCTCATTCCCTGCTGGTCCCCAGGGCCTGAAACACTGTAATGCCCAATAAACATTTGTGGAGCATTCTGTAGTCCTCTTTTGAATTTTGACCCTGGAAATGTGAGTTGGATTGAAGGAAAAGGAAACAGAGTGAAAGCAGTGAAACTAGTTCAAGAAACTTACCTACCCATTCCAGCACGAGAAGTTTTTCACTTTAGTAACATCTACCAGGCAGTTCTTCTTCTGGAAGGTTTAGTAGCTTACCACAGCATGTATTGGCCTCTCTGCTTAGGTCTCAGGTTTGAGAGAGGACTTTTTTCTGACTTCTGCATGATGGACATCTTCATTTAGTTTGAGGAAGGTAGAGAAAGGTGCTTTGGGGACATCAGCCGATCACAGAAAGGCCGTATCTCGGCGTGAGAACCGGTATGTTATCATCATGGGGAAAGTACAATGCACGGGGGGAGAAGAGGGAGCCCGCAGTGCTGCTTGCTGGATGCTGTTGAAGACTTAGGACTGCCCTCTAAGATGAACTACGGGGAAGCAAAAGGCTTTTAGATGGAAGGGATGTAGAAGGCCCCATGCTTAGCTGTCACTTAATTTTAGGATTTGCTCAGCCTTCAGATTAACAACAATGATGTAGATTGTTTCCAGATTAAGCACAAAACTCGGCCCTTAGAATAATTCTAAACTAGCTACTTCACTAACAACAACAACAAAGCAGATGCATGCGTTGAATAGATGGCATTGCCAGTTTTCATCCTCACTATTGCTACATAGACGGCTAGCTTCTTTCATCTAAGTGTTGGCTGGCTCCAGGCTTTCTGAAGCCTGACAGGTTCAACGGGCCCAGTTCTAACAGGAGCATCTGCAGGGAACCAAGCCTGTGTCTAAAAGAAAATGCGATGAAACCAAGTGACCATGGAAATCCAAGTATACTTTTGTATTCCTCCTTTTCCAAATAGAACTCATGTTTAGCAAATGCTTTTATGGAGGTCCAACGGATGAAGGAGGCCTTTTCTGCTCTGAACTGAACTCATTTGACTTATTCAGAAAGCACCAAGGAAGAGGGAAGGACACGCCTCTGAGTAACTCTTAAGGGAATGTCTTAATTCATGACATGTGCTTCAGAGAAAAAGCTTTCTAGAATAAACTGTTAATTAAAATGCTTTGTGATGCTTTTGTTAGATCAATACTTTAGCTACTCTAAATGCCAGTTGGGGCATTCTTCAATGCCTTATTGGATGCTGTCAAGAATATAACAGAAGTGCCTATAATTGATTGATAAAGCCCTAGGATATTATAAGTAGAACACGAAAATCCTGGGACCTTGCCATTAGTGTTCATGGCTTATATGTCCTTTTCCTAAAAATTATTCTCATTACCTTTCCAATGAATTTGTCTCTATTCATGAAGCCCTGAACTGAGAACCACCATCAGTGACAATAGCCTAAGTGTAAAGAACAATCAAAAGGCTGGACGATGAACTGGAGGTAATTCCAAGAGAGCAGTCACTATTCTTCCAGAATGACCACTGAAACCCTAGCACTCAGACCTTCAAATATTGATGCGACAGTGGACTCTGGAGGAAATGTGAGTGGCTATTGTATGTCTTAGATTCCAGAATTACCCTGCAAAGTATACTTGAAAGACCAGGCATTGTGGCAGGCATTGTGGTGGGCACCTATAGTCCCAGCTACTCCAGAGGCTGAGGCAAGAGGACCACTTGAGCCCAAGACTTTGAGGTTGCTGTGATCTATGATGCCAAGGCACTCTACCCAGGGCACAGAGTGAGACTGTGTCCTCAAAAAAAATTATCTCTAACATACTTATGTAAAGTATATATTAACATATACTGGGAGGATGTATATAGGTTTATGCCATTTTATATTAGAGACTTGAACATCTAAAGATTTTAGTATGGGTGGGGTAGCCTGGTATCAGTGTCCCGCAGATACTAAGGGCTGACTATATTTCTAAAATAAGAAGTTGAAGGAAACTAAAATAAGGAAAACTGATTGAAAGTTGTTTAAGAAGTAATAATATGCCATTCCAGGCTACTGGGCAGCTGTTCCTCGTCTATGACAACAGAAGATCGAGGCTCAGGGTTAAACTGGGGTTTTTGCAACAGGAGATGCCAGGCGCAGCTGAAAGCAGAGTATACCAAAAGCAGGGTGGGTCCATCAGAGAATATGCCACCGGAATGCCAGGCCCCTCCCCCTACCCCACCCACCCACACTCAGCCTTTCCACCTCCAGTCAGCTTTTTATCTTTCTCTGCTTACATTTATACCCACAACAGTTACTAGACATCTGAGGAAAGCTTTTAATGTGACAGATGCCAAAACCAATAAACAGAAAACAAGCAACTTGAAGAAAACAGACTATGAAAGATAAGAAAACTTAAAACTTACAAGAAAGTATCATTAATATTTTCAAGTAATTAAGAGAAGAGTTGGCATTTGTGAAACAGGAATAGAATTCTCTAAAAGAGAAACATTCCAAGAACCACCATCAACGACAATAGCCTGAGTATAAAGAACAATCAAAAGATTGGAAGATGAAGTGGAGGTAATTTCCAAGAGAGCAGAAAACAGGAAGAGATAGAAAAAAAGATTTTGGCTTGGCACCTATGGCTCAAGTGGATAAGGCGCCTGCCACATACACCTGAGCTGGCGGGTTGGAATCCAGCCCGGGCCCAGGCCCGCCAAACAGCAATGGCGGCTGCAACCAAAAAAATAGCCAGGTGTTGTGGCGGGCACCTGTGGTCCCAGCTACTTGGGAGGCTGAGGCAGGAGACTCGCTTGAGCCCAGGAGTTGGAGGTTGCTGTGAGCTATGATGCCACGGCACTCTGCCCAGGGCGACGGCTTGAGGCTCTGTCTTAAAAAAAAAAAAAAGATTTTAAAAATTAGATGTATTCACGAGACTTGACATCTAAATAATAAGGGTTCTAGAGAAAGGGAACAGGGGAAACGGAGGGAAATAACCAATGGCACTTTGTAGGAAGCTTTCTGAGAACTGAAGGACATGGAGTTTCCAGGTTGAAATTACCCACTGAATCTTGCAAAGTCGCAAGCATTTACCTCTCTTACATTCATTTTCAAGAAACTACTGGAGGACGTGTTGTCCTACAATGAGGGAGTAAACCAAGGAAGAGTAGGACAATGGGTAGAGGGAACGAGAGATAGACCACAGAGAAGGGCAAAGGGCAGGAGAGGATGACCGTGAATATTGACTATAAGCGATCAGCTCTGCACCAAGCAGAGGCCATTCAGTCCAGACTAAGGCAGGTCAGAAAGTACCAGGGATTTCCTTACCAGGCTGATAGAATGCCCGTTGTGAATGAATGTTCTGAGAGGAGAAACTGATGATTGGAGTTTCAGATTGCATAAAAATAATACCAAATGAGGAAAAAAAGACAATTATAAATTCCAGAGAAAACAAAAATTTACATGTGAGAGAAAAAGCAGTCATAGTTTACAAGGTAACTGAGTTTTATTTCATGGTCATGGTAAAATCAACAGTGAGGAACAATCTTACCAAAATTATGTAATATTATATAACTATGATTATTACAATATTGAGCAGATGGTAGGGGATGGATAAAAGGCATGGTATGTGTGATGTAGGGAGAAAAGTAGAGATAAAAGCAAAAAGGTCTTGTATTCTGTAGTGGGAGAAGGTCGAAAGATTTTGTTGAAAACTGGAAAAAATTAATATATAGCAATATGAACATACTATGTAGACATGTGGAGGTAATTAGCAGAAGAAATTCAAAAGAGCTGAAAGTGGTAGCTTCCAGGCAAAGAAAAAGATTAAAGAGAAGGACTAGGTACAACTACTTGTCTTAACCATTCTGACAGAACTCAATGACTCTTTAAATCAGTGGTTCTCAACCTTCCTAATGCCACGACCCTTTAATACAGTTCCTCATGTTGTGGTAACCCCCAACCATAAAATTATTTTCACTGCTACTTTATGAAGTAGTTTAAAGGTTAAATGGTGTATGTGTAACTTGGAAAAGAAAATCTTCTTGAATGACCATTTACATTTCCACAAATAAGGAAAAAATTTTTTTAAGAGAACAGCTTTCTTGAGATGTAACTCACAATTTACCCCATGGTTTTTAGTACATTCACAGAGTTGTGCAACCATCACCACATTCAATTTTAGAACATCTCATCACCTCCAAGAGAGACCTGAAAGCCACGAGCTTTCAGTCCCACTTGTGCCTCACCATCCCAGCCTTCCACACCATGCTACACTCTGTCTTTGTGGATCCACCTGATCTGGACACTTTGTATACAACGTGTGGTCTTTTTTTAACTGGCTTCTTTCACTTAGCACAGGCATGTCTTAGAGACATGGTGGGTCCACTTCCAGCTGACTGCAATAAAGTGAATATTGGGATAAAAGGAGTCACATTGTGTTTGGTCTTCCCAGTGAATGTAAAAATTACGCTCACATTACGGTATAATCTATTAAAGTGTGCAGTAGCATTATGTCTAAAAAAATGTGCATACCTTAATTTTAAAATACTTTATTGCTAAAACATGTCAAGAGTCTCTGAGCTTTTAGCAAGCCTTAATCTGTTTGCTAGTGGAGGGTCTCGCCTCCATGTTTATGGCTCTGAGTGACCAGGGTGGTTGTTGCTGATGTTTGGAGTGGCCATGGCAGTTTCTGAAAATAAGACAACAGCATAGTTTGCTCCATCGATTGACTCTTCCTTTCACAAAGGGTTTCTCTGAGGCACGTCATGCTGTTTGTTAGCATATTACCCTCCCAGTAGCATGTTTTACAAAGTTGGAATCAATCTTATTAAACTCTGCTGCTGCTTTACCCACTAAATGTATGTCAGACTCTTTATTGTCATATCTAGAATGTTCACAGCATTTACAGCAGGACCAGATTTCATCTCAAGAAATGCACTCAAAGGAAGCAACTCCTTGCTCATTCAATTTCTGACCATGAGATTGGTTCAGTCACATCTTCAGACCCCACTCTGAGTTCTCTTGCTGTCTCTACCACATCCCTAGTGACTTCCGCCATGGAAATGTTTACACCCTTCAAAGTCATCCATGAGGGTTGAAATCAAATTCTTCCAAATTTCTGTTAACACTTTGACCTTCTCCCATGAATCTCATATGTTTTTAATGGCATCTAGAATGCTGAATCCTTTCCAGAAAGTTTTCAATTGATTTTTCCCAGATCTTTCAAAGGAGTCACTATCTATAACAGCTATAGACTTCTAACATGTATTTCTTAATAGAAAGACTTAAAAGTCAAAAATCACTTCTTGATCCATGGGCTACAGAATGGATGTTGTGTTAGCAGGCATGAAAACCACATCAATTTCCTTGTACATCCATTGGAGCTGCTGGGTGACCAGTTACATTGTCAATGAGCAGTTATATTTTGAAAGGAACCTTTATTCCTGAACAGTAGGTCTTGATAGTGGGCTTAAAATCCTCGGTAAACAGTGCTGTAAGCAGATTTGTTATCATCCGGGCTCTGTTGTTGTTCCACTGGTAAAGCACAGGCAGAGGAGAGTTAGCATCATTCAGCTCTAGGAATTTCACAATGGTAAATGACCATTGGCATCAATTTAAAGTTATCAGCTGCATTAGCCCCTAACAAAAGAGTCAGCCTATCCTCTGAAGCCAGGCAATGACTTCTCTCTAGCTATGAAAGTTTAAGAAGGCATTTTTCTTCCAGTATAAGGCTATTTCGTCTACAGCCTTAGATTTCATCGAAATCTGTTGTTTAGTGTAGCTACCTTTGTCAATGATCTTAGCTAGATCTCCTGGATACCTCGAAGCAGCTTCTCCATCAGCACTTGCTGCTTCACCTGGCACTTTTTGTGTGATAAAAAGAGCTTCCTTCCTTAAGCCTCACAAAGCAACTTCTTCTAGCTTCAAACTTTTCTTCTGAAGCTTCCTCACCTCTCTGAGCTTCTTAGAATTGAAGAGAGTTAGGGCCTTGTTCTGCATTAGGTTTTGCTTAAGTAAAGTTGTGACCAGTTTCGTTTTCTATCCAGACCACTTAAACTATCTCCCTGTCAGTAAGAAGACTGTTTCACTTGCTTATCGTTCATCGGCTCACTGGAGTAGCACTTTTCCCTGGAGAACTTTTCCTTGGCAGTCACAACTTGGCTGTTGGTGCAGGAGACCTTGCTTTCTGCCTTCATTTTCAATACGCCATCCTTACCAAGCATCCTCCTTTCTAGCTTTTGAAAGGTCTAGCTTGTGACTCTTTGTTTCACTCGAACACTCAGAGTCCACTGCAGGGTTATTAACTGGCCAAATACCAATATTATTGTTTCTTAGGGAATAGGGAGGCCTGAGGAGAGGGAGAGAAACGGTAATGACCAGCCAGGGGAGCAGAACACACACATTTATAGATTAAGTTCACTATCTTACATGGGTATGGTGCATGGTGCCCCCAAACAATTACAATAGCTACATCAAATATCATTGATCGTATATCACCATATTCCTAGAATTACCCAAATGTGGAACAGAGATGCTAAGTGAGCACATGATTTTGGGAAATGGCCCTGATGTACTTGCTTAATGCATTGCTGTCACAAATTTCCAATTTGTAAAAAACACAGTATCTGCATCTGCAAAGCACAAGAAACTGCAGTAAAATGAGATGTGTCTATATATTTTCAAGTTCTATTCACGTTGTATCATGCATCAGTACTTTTTTATTGTCAAATAATTGTTCATTGCATGGGTACCTGCATACCAGGTATTATTTATTTTTTCATCAAATTTGAATTGTTTCTGCTTTGGGGCTGTTGAGAATTCATGTATGAGTTTCTGTGCGGACATGGTTTGATTTTTCCTGGGTATATACCCAGGAGTGGAATTGCTGGATCATGTGGCAATCTACATTTATCGTTTTGAGGAACTGCCCGTTTTCCAAAGTGACTCCATCAGTTTGCATTCCTACCATCAGAGGGTGAGAGTTCCAGTTTTTTGACATCACCAACATTCGTTCACCCCCAGTGGGTGTAAGTGGTATCTCATTTTGGTTTTGATTTCCACTAAGGAACTTTTTAAAATGTAGCAAATTAAGAAAATGAAATAGGTTGACAAAATAAAAAGCACTCATTATGGATGTAGGTTGGTACATATTTTATGGAGGACGGTTTAGGATATTGTAATGTAAAATATACTTAACCTCTGACCAGACATCCCACATCCCATTCTAGGTAATTAATGTAAGGAGAAAACCATTTGTTGGGAAAAGACGTGTCTTTATTTCACTGCTATTTATAATCTCAAAATACCAAAAAACTTTGAAACTGACTTCAATGTCTGTCAAGAGGAAACTGGATAAATGAATTCTAGACAATCAATACAAATAATGATGCAGGTAGAATATATATACATACATATGTATATATACACATTTGAGGGGTACATATAACTAGGCTACTTTATTTGCCTATCTACCACATATTGGTGGAGACAAAATAAGATGATTAAGCATCTGCACATAAAGATCCCATTTGTGTAAAATATCTTTCTGCATAGAAAGATTTTGTGGAATAAGGTCTAAAGTGTTAACAGTGATTATATCCCTGTGGTGGAATTTTAGGTGATTTTTTTTTTACTTTGTGCTTCATATTTTTTTTTGTATTTAATTTTATTAAAAATCAGCCTTTAGCCTCTATAATTTTTTGAGAAAATTATGAAACTATTTCAAAAGACTGTGCATTTTAGAAGTCACATTTTTGTACTTCATCAAGGCTTAAATTTTAAATACTCTTTCCCTATCATTATTTTTTTTTAACCTCAAAACCATCTACTAAAGGTGTAAAAACTTCATTATTGTGGTGATTATATCCACTTGGTGTCGAACACTGATCTAGGCTCTTCTTTCAGAGAATTTTATTATGTACTTTGATCCTTTATAGAGTCCTTTTTGTGGAGATAGGCCAGGAATATGAACTTTGGGATCATGCCAGATCTCAAGAATAGGAACTGGTCAAAATGGTTCTCCATCTCTTCTGGTTATTGGGATAATAATTCTGAGTTGGCATGTTCTCCCTTCTGTTTTTCTAACCCCTCTTGGAGGAGAATATCATTCACTACAACTTACTCTGAGTTTTTTTATGACTGAGGAATTACTCTAAACACATTGCATATATTTTATTCATCTAATCATCATGACAATCCTATAAGGTCGACACTACATTATTGCTATTTTAAAGATTTGGAGCCTGAGGCACAGAGAGGTTAAGTCCAAGGTCACTCAACTAGGGAATGGCAAAGCTGGCCCTGGAACCCAGTCAGTTTGGTTCCAAAGTACCTATGATCTTAATTGGTACCACTCCGCCACACACACACCTCTCTGACTTTCCTCCTACAGATGACTCCAACCACCGCTTGCTGGCTTTCCCGGTTTCTCTCGCAGGCTGTCATTTCTTCCAGAAATGCCCAAGAGGCTGAGGTAGCATGAACAGCAAATGCTGTACAGAATTACCTCTGTACTGTTCATGTATTTATCCATTGAATCTCTTAGGATTTTACTTGACATTTTTTTTTGACATCCTTTTCTCAGAAATGATTGTATTTCTTACTCCTTGAAGTTGGAGATTCATCTGGGACCAAAAAAAAAATTAAGCCTTCTTTAGATTTTTCAGCTTTGCATCGTCAAAGTGTGTGAGTGCGCAGAGTGGCTGGTGTTGAGTCAGAGCATCAGCTGCTCTTTCCCAGGACTGCACGGTGTTCTCAGCCGCGGGCAATGTGGGACGCCTGGTGCCTTGCCTGATCTTTGGGTCTTATCTTTAGGGAAAGCATAATTTTTATAATATTATAATTTATTTTGCTTGAGAGCAATACATAGCTGGGCACAGTGGCTCAAGCCTGTCATCTCAGTACTTTGGGAGGCTGAGGCAATAAGATCACTTGAAACCAAAAGTTTGTGACCAACCTGGACAACATAGCAAGACCACATCTCTAAAAAAATTTTTTAATTAGCCAGGTATCCTGGTGGTACGCCTTTGTCTAATGGGGAGGGGGGCAGGTGCTGAGGCATGAGGATTGCTTGAACCCAGGATTTAAAGGTTGCAGTGAGCTATGATCACTGTAATCTAGTCTAGGCAACAGAGTGAGACTCTGTAAAAAATAAAAATAAAAAATGAATAATACACACTCATTGTAAAAATTTTGGAAAATATAAAAAGTACAAAGAAAAAACTTTAAAGCACTTCTAATCCTACCATCCTGTAAAAACCACTAGAAATCATGATTTCTAAGCATGTTTATCTTTTTGTTAAGGAATTCACATCCATTCATGAAGTCTAAGTCATCTAAGTAAATGATATACAGATGATAATTTTAGGAAATACCCATCCATGCAAACTAACAGGTAGGATTAAATTTAAATTTAAAGATGTGCCACAGTTGGTAAAATTAAAATTTCTGAATTTTATATTTCAGTATGACTTTTTTAATTGAAGAAAGGAAATAATTATGTATATTTTAAAACAGTGTGAAATCAAACAAAAAGGTATAATGACCTCAGCAGTTTCATTTGTTCCTCTGAGTAATTTTTCCATTTATTTTTACCTAAGATGAGCTGCATGTATAATAGGTCTTCAACTGATGCTTATTAATTTTATGGAAACCAGATTAAGATCTCCTTGAAATACTATCAACATTTAATTTGGGTTGTTATTACTTTTGTTACCTTGCTGTGATTGATATTTAGTCAATTTTTTTTGAGACAGAGTCTCACTTTGTCACCCTCGGTAGAGTACTGTGACCTTAAAGCTCACAGAAACCTCAAACTCTTGGGCTCAAGCAATTCTCTTGCCTCAGTCTCCCAAGTAGCTAGGACTACAGGCACCTGCCACAACACCTGGCTATTTTTAGAAATGAGGTCTTGTTCTGTTTCAGGCTGGTCTGGTCTTGAATTCCTAAACTCAGGCAATCCACCCCACCTCTGTGTCCCAGAATCCTAGGATTACAGGCGTGAGCCACTGTGCCCGGCAAAATTTAGTAAAATTTATTTAGGACGTTTTACTATTATCCTGGAGAAAAGGGTTATAAACATCACCGTTACAAAAACAACAATAGCAGCAACAGCAAAAACTCAGGTGGTATGACATATTGCAAGTAATGACTATGTTGAGTTTGATTCAAACTGAAATAGCTTGTACTGAACAGTATTTTTAACAACTGTTTCTTAAGAGAATAACTTCAATAACCAAAGTGTATTCTCTTGTGTTTTCTAGGCATCTGGCCATCTGAGGAGGTTTTGGCTCACTACTGCCTCAAGCACAATAATCTGTTCAGGTACAGAGTTGCACCCAAAATGGGATATTTTTATCCCATTATGCACATTGAATTTGCATATTAAAATTGCCATGATTACATTCTTCGAATTTGCGTATTAAAATTGCCACGATTACGTTCTTGAAAGAAAGAAAGAAAAAGAGAAATCAAGAAAGAGAAAAGGAAAACAGAACGAAAAGGAAACAAGTTCACAGGGAACACATGTTGCTTCTGAAAAGAAATCTGAATTGCCTTTGGGTACTAATATTGCACAGCAAGCTTTTTGCTATATGTCAAAGGCTTTTGATTTCTACTCAAGGCATTTTATTTCACTTTGATTTTGGGGAAACAAAAGTGAAGCCTCAATCAATCCTTGCTGATTGTGAAGGTCAAAAAAAAAAAAAAAAAAAA